AAAATAACCCCAAAGGGGTCTCAAATCTCAGGTTATCCCCCCCCCAATTTTCCAGCTCAGTCAGACGTTGATGCCGCGACGGGAAGAGGAGAGGCCGATTTTTGGGGTCGAAATCTTCCTAAACCAGCATCCTAGAGGAGAAAGGGGTTTGTTTTTTTTTTTCTTTTTCACCTCAAAATGACTCAATCTCACCTTGTAGCCCCGTTTCCTTCAGCGCAGGTTGAAAATCCCCCCTCCCCAAAATCACTCTAAAATACTCCATGGGAATGTTTGGTCCCCAAAAATAGCCGGGGTCCCATCCCGCGATAAAGACTTTTTTTTGGTTTTGGCCTTATTTTGGTAAAAACGAACCTAAAGATGCTTGGAAAAAAAATATTAAATTAAAATTCAAATATTAGATGGGAAGCGAAGCGGTTCCTGAGCTGACGCCATTTCGTGGTCCACAAGGAGCCGGAGGAAGCATCGTTGGTGACGGAACTTGGAAAATGGGGTGACCTTGACCGTCCCCCTTCATTTTTGGTGGTCCCCAACATGAGTCCGGTGATGACGGACGAGATCCGAGCTCCGACAAAAACTCTTCCCGCATTGGGCGCAGCTATAGGGTCGTTCACCCGTATGGATACGTTGGTGGGCCACCAAGTTGGAGCTTTGACTGAAGCTCTTCCCGCAATCGGGACACGTATAGGGTTTCTCTCCCGTATGGATCCGATGATGGGTGATGAGCGTAGAGCTCCCAGTAAAGCTCTTCCCGCAGTCGGGGCACGCGTAGGGTCGTTCACCCGTATGGATCCGTTGATGACAGATGAGCTTCGACCTGTTCACGAAGCTCTTCCCACACTGGGAACACTGGTAGGGTCTTTCACCGGTGTGGACACGTTGGTGACACATCAGCGAAGAGCTAGTGTTGAAAGTCTTCCCGCATTGAGTGCACTTATAGAATTTCTATTGAGTGCCCTTACAGAATTTCTCATCCGTATGGATCCGTCGATGCCGTAATAACGTCGAATTCTCGTTAAAACTCTTCCCGCAATCCGGACACGTATAGGGTTTCTCACCGGTATGGGTACGATGATGGGTGATGAGCGTAGCGCTCTCGGTAAAGCTCTTCCCGCAGTCGGGGCACGCGTAGGGTCGTTCGCCCGTATGGATCCGTTGATGACAGATGAGCCTCGAGCTGTCCACGAAGCTCTTCCCACACTGGGAACACTGGTAGGGTCTTTCACCGGTGTGGACACGTTGGTGACGCAGCAGCGAAGAGCTATCGTTGAAACTCTTCCCGCATTGAGTGCACTTATAGAATTTCTCATCCGTATGGATCCGTCGATGCCGTAATAACGTCGAATTCTCGTTAAAACTCTTCCCGCAATCCGGACACGTATAGGGTTTCTCACCGGTATGGATTCTCCGATGACGAATTAAAGCCGAGCTCCATATAAAGTGTTTCCCGCAATCGCGGCAAGCGTAGGGCATGTCGCCTATATGAAGGCGTTGATGTTGAAGGAAGTAAGAGCTATCGCTAAAACATTTCCCGCAATCGGGACATCTATAGGGTCGTTCACCCGTATGGGTTTTCCGATGTCGGATATGGGTTGAACGGATACTGAAACTTTTCCCGCATTCCTCGCAAACGTAAGGTTTTTCCCCCGTATGTATTCTACGATGTTTAACCAACGTCGAACCGTGACCGAAATTTTTCCCGCATTCGGGGCACCTATAGGGTTTTTCACCCGTATGGATCCGCCGATGAGCCGCTAACGCCGAATTTTGATTGAAGCGATCGCCGCATTCGGGGCATTTATAAGGTTTTTCGCCCGTATGGATCCGTTGATGGGTTAATAAAGCCGAACTGCTGCCGAAACCTTTCCCGCACTCGTAGCATCCATAGGGGCGTCCGTGGGGTGGTGGTACCCCCAAACCCCTCG